CTACGGTTTGCAACTGTGCATGGGGACAAAGATCGTAGTTTTTGGAGAAATGTCCTCTGGTCTAATGAAACAAAAATAGAACTGTTTGGCCATAATGACCATTATGTTTGGAGGAAAAAGAGGGACCTTGCAAGCCGAAGAACACCATCCCAACCGTGAAGCACGGGAGTGGCAGCATCATGCTGTGGGGGTGCTTTGCTGCAGGAGGGACTGGTGCACTTCACAAAATAGATGGCATCATGAGGAAGGAAAATGATGTGGCTATATTGAAGCAACATCTCAAGACATCAGTCAGGAAGTTAAAGCTTGGTCGCAAATGGGTCTTCCAAATGGACAATGACCCCAAGCATACTTCCAAAGTTGTGGCAAAATGGCTTAAGGACAACAAAGTCAAGGTATTGGAGTGGCCATCACAAAGCCCTGACCTCAAACCTATAGAAAATGTGTGGGCAGAACTGAAAAAGCGTGTGCGAGCAAGGAGGCCTACAAACCTGACTCAGTTACACCAGCTCTGTCAGGAGGAATGGGCCAAAATTCACCCAACTTATTGTGGGAAGCTTGTGGAAGGCTACCCGAAACGTTTGACCCAAGTTCAACAATTTAAAGGCAATGCTACCAAATACTAATTGAGTGTATGTAAACTTCTGACCCACTGGGAATGTGATGAAAGAAATAAAAGCTGAAATAAATCATTCTCTCTACTATTATTCTGACATTTCACATTCTTAAAATAAAGTGGTGATCCTAACTGACCTAACACGGGGACTTTTTACCAGGATTAAATGTCAGGAATTGTGAAAAACTGAGTTTAAATGTATTTGGCTAAGGTGTATGTAAACTTCCGACTTCAACTGTACATATGAAATGGGTAAAACAGTATGGAAACAGTATTAAAGTGACCAGTGTTCCATTATTAAAGTGACCAGTGTTCCATAGGGCAGCAGCCACTAAGGTGCAGGGATGAGTAAACGGGTGGTAGCCGGCTACTGACAGTGACTAAGTTCAGGGCAGGGTACTGGGTGGAGGCCGGCTAGTGACGGCTTTGGAATAAGCCTGATAAAAATAAGCAATATCTAAGAATATCTATATTGGTCCTATCAAATAATAAAAATGGCGGCGACGACTATAATACAACTGCTTCAATACATTTACAAAATGTAATGCTTTTATTTTACGATATACAAAAAACGATAGGCGATGGACTTTGGGCCGAATTATATAGCTTGGAATACCGGCGTGTGAGCCAACTTTACGCACACATCTCTAATTCATTTCAATGCAAGTGTATCTCTAGGTTTTAGGCGCAAAATACTTACTCTACATTCCATGAGAAATCATAGGATAGATACAACAAAACATACAGTATACCACATAGGCTATTACCTATGGATACGAAAACGTATTTGGGAGGACTATAGTCCAGCCAGGTCACCCGTGATACAAGTCAGTTTTCGAAGTCCATCCATGTCTGACGACGTCGGGAGATGATGTCGGGAGATGACGTAGAAACCGGCCACTAGGGTAAACAGGGAGTGCTGTTACATTCAAGTAGTTTTCGTGGGTGCCTCTGGTGCCGAAGGTTGCATGTTCGAATCCAACTACAGAAAGTTGTTTTTGAGATTTTTGTTTTAAGCCTATCTCAAACCTTATCCCTTACCTTAACCCTTCGGAGTTAATGCCTAACCGTAATATTTCGGAGTAGTTAATGCCTAAACTTAATCCAACTACAGAAAGTTGTTTTTGAGATTTTTGTTTTAAGCCTATCTCAAACCTTATCCCTTACCTTAACCATTCGGAGTTAATGCCTAACCGTAATATTTCGGAGTAGTTAATGCCTAAACTTAATCCAACTACAGAAAGTTGTTTTTGAGATTTTTGTTTTAAGCCTATCTCAAACCTTAACCCTTACCTTAACCCTTCGGAGTTAATGCCTAACCGTAATATTTCGGAGTAGTAAATGCCTAAACTTAACACGTTTGGAACAACTTCGAAATTTGATGATGGAGAAACATGGATGAACATCTAATTCTATGAGAGCTTGTTGCAGCCAGCATCTTCGCTATTATCTAAATGTAGGCCTATTAGCATGAAAAGCAAAATTATAGCCTATACTCAGTGTTAGGGAAGCTACTCTGAAAATCTAGTTTTACCAAGCTACCAATTACTTCACACTGGAAGAAGTTAAGCTACACTAAAGCTACCCTTAAGAAACATATAGTTTACTTAACTAAAGTTACTTTGAAAAAGTAGTTCACTACATCCAAACTACTTCGTGAAAAATTATCATATCTAAATCTGAAATGTCATAGACTACAAATTGCAAGATAGATCACTCTGGAGTCAGATGTTAACATAATGTGTAATGTAGCCTGTTAAACACAGAAATGATGTTTCAAGTGAGAATTAAGCAGGTCTGATGAAAGGAAATCTTGCCTACTTTACATTTTACATTTACATTTTAGTCATTTAGCAGACGCTCTTATCCAGAGCGACTTACAGTTAGTGAATACTTTTTTTTTTTATACTGGCCCCCAGTGGGAATCGAACCCGCAACCCTGGCGTTGCAAACGCCATGCTCTATCAACTGAGCTACATCCCTGCCGGCCATTCCCTCCCCTACCCAAGACGACGCTGGGCCAATTGTGCGCCGCCCATGAGTCTCCCGGTCGCGGCCGGCTGCGACAGAGCCTGGATTCGAACCAGGATCTCTAGTGGCACAGTTAGCACTGCGATGCAGTGCCTTAGACCCACACTACTTAGCAAACTAAGTAGTGTGTTCCAGTAGTTAGCTACACCACTACATGGCCATAGTATGTAATTAACTACTGAAAACACTACCAAGATTTGAATTTAGTTCAACTACCACCAAGCTACAGAAATGTTTTATATAATCACTAGTTGAATTAAACAGTTCACTACTCCCCATCACTGCCTATACTGATCTCTTATTCGTTTGCTGCTCAATACCGAACATGAGGCAAGCTAATACTGTAAGTTATTTTAGTTTGGTGGCAACGTCATTGGAGATTTTACAAACAAGGCACATTAATTAAATAACAACACATTATTCGCAGTGGGATATATTTTCGTAAGGGTATCCTGTTGCTGTGTCCTGTTACATCTAATACGTCATTTCTAATATCTCGAGTCGAGTTAGACATCGTAAGCCTCCACATTAAATACAGGCCTGTATTAAGTGGGCCTATAATATAGGCCTATCCATGCAACATATCCTCGGCAAACACGTCAAAGGATAAACCATCCAATATCAGTCCTATGGATATATCATAGTCATACAAGCATACATGTAAAAAACATGCCTATCCAAAAAGCATATACTACTCCTTTAGGCCAGGGCTGGGCAACTTTGATTGGGAAGGAGGTCACAAAAAATCTCAACTCATCATGAGGGGCCGCAGTGGTTCGTAGGTCTGCATACCCACATCTATACCCACACATTCAGTCAACTGATTTGTGCATTCAATCTATTTGTGCAGTTATACAAAATGCATTATACCAGTATCCAGGGCCGGCCCTAGCCTTTTGGGGGCCCCAAGCGAGATTTGATTGGGGGGCCCCACCACCTTGTGGCAAAATATTTTACTGGCCACAGTCATGACAGCAGAGAGAAAAAGTTGTAATGTAAATTTCCTGCGATTCTACAGATTTTGCCAAGGAGCATAGAGAAAATGTTGCAGTTTTAAAGCAAGTTTTCTGCAACTCGACACATTTTGCCATGGGGTGGAGATGTTTTTTGTGTGCAATTTTATAACAAATTCCTGCAGCTGCCAGTTGCCCATCCCTGCTCTAGGCCATATACTAAACGTTCCTCAATACCAACAGGGATGTGATAACACATCCCACGAGGATGTGAGATGACAATTCAAAAAGAGTTCCACTAAGTGACTTAGAGGAGACAGGAAAGAAACACATAATTTAATTAATCATATTTCAACAAATAATTTTGTTTGACTGGGGTGAAAATATTGAAATCATGTTAATCATCATCATTTATTTATGAAACACCTTACCAGTACGTTTTAAACACCACAATACAGTTCACATACTTCACGAAATAAAGTTACAAGACTGTCTGCTTAGAAGGCGTGTGAACAGATCCAAATGCTTTTTACTATATATAGGCCTACTATAAACAGAAAACAAAAGAAATAGATTGTGCATTTATGTGTAATACTCACTGACTTTAATTGCTTACAATCATTCCAGTTGCATGACAGAGACATTATCCTTCACTGATAAAGGAACACATAAAGGGTTTGAGACATTCCAATTGACAACCCTGTGATACGAGAGAATTCAATGATAAAGGCATTGCACTGTCCATGTATAACAATAGCAGCCTTATTTTTACCTTATTAACAAAACATATCCCACAGAAAGAAAACATATATATAGCTTCTGAAATCGGGGACAGGGCAGTTTTGAACAAAACCATTATATCATCCGTCGCCCCCGCAAAAAACCATCTGAGAACTTGGCTGAAGATAATACATCTCATATAGTTTTTTATGTAGCCTTTCGAGTTCATTCGTTGTCGTTCTCCCTGACCAGTTTATGTCGATATTGCAATTCTCTTTCTGTTGATGGCACGATGAACATATCAAATATGTCTGTTTTGATCTGGCTGTCTGTTGGACGAAAAGTCCTGGAAATGTCAATTGGTTTGAAAAAAAAAAAACACGCAATCCTTGTCTTTTTGAAATACAGATATCGTTTTAAATATTATATATTTATATATGTACATTCATATAAAACAACGTTGAACTGATTTCTCAATATTTTCACAGTTTTTATAGCATTTCTTTCTCTAAATCGAAAAAAGAGCGTTTGGTGGTGGCATGGATGTGTGGACTCTTGGAACTTAAATAAAATACACTGCCGAAGTATTCTTCAGGCTTGGTTGTCTCTAAGAGGTAAATTATGGATTGAAAGACGGTGGGATGGATATCAGCTGCAGTGTACAATGGGCCGGACATCTATCAAGTATTAGGCGTATGATTACTCGTTTTGGATTTACAGACAAATTTCTTCTCTTTCACCCGTCGGTTCTGGAACCAAATGGTGACTTGGCGCTCTGAGAGGTTGGTCCCGGCGGAGATGCGTCTTCTTTTGTCTTTGGTGATGAACTTGCTGGCGGCGTACTCTTTCTCCAGCTCCTTCAGTTGGAGCTTGGTGTAGGGAACCCGCTTCTTACGTCCACGACGGTAGCTGCTGATCTCAGGCTGCAAAGGGACTACGTCTGGAGAGAAAAAATAGAGAAGGAGAGATGTATTACGCAAAGACATTTCCCAGCACTAACTTTGCATCTGATGAATTCAAATATATTTAATGTATTAATACGTTTGTTATGACAGGCAGTCAGCGCGCATGACAAATTGGTGAAATATTGTATGATAATCTTGATCCATGATAAAGACATGAACGACACAGAGATGGTCCTTGAGGGTAGATGAATCGTTTATATATCCTTGCATATCGCAACAAAGGGATAAGGGATTTAACTATAGTCTCTCTTTCAGATTTGTAATGAGAAAAACATATGCGTGGCCTTGCTGATGTACACAATGTTGTAAAGTAGTTAAATAAAATAAGGATTATATAAGGTACCAAATCTCCAAAACGTTCTTCCTACAACAAATATCTAACAATGTTCATATAATAATATAAATGCTCATGATATTGATAAACATAAATATATCAACAATACGTTTTTCAACAGTGGACATATCACTGCGTAATTACACAAATATTGGCCCTGCCATGGATCTCTGAATATTTTGGTATTGTACTGTTATGATAAGATGAGCACTTATGGATAATAGTATTGCATTTCATCAATATTTCTGCAATGTTCTCATCTTCTATAAATGCATTCACCTCTACCGGGTCAATTAACCTGATATATGCGTAGCCTATTTATCAAGAACCCGTTGACACCGTCAAACCTTTGCATGGGCCCATTAAAGTGCAAACAGCTGAAGTTTGATTTATGTTGGGAATTAGGAATTGAGTTACCTATAGCTACGACTTAGGTCTGTCTGGCTGCTCAAAAAGATGCCATAAGACCAACAGTTCTGTCTGTATGGGAGACATGAAAGGACAGGTATGTCGTTGCTTTAAAGACGAGAGACTAGGTTTGGGGGGTGGGTAGCCTGGGTTCATGGTAGTAACATGAAACATACCCCATAGGTCTACTTAAGTTTTTACATATGAGATAGTTTTCGTTAGCATTCCATAAATACTGAATAGCATAATTAGACTATGTTCTTTCGGTCAAAATATGCATTTGGAAATGTTGGAGAGTCATGATGCTAAGTGGGCTGGAGGGAATTAGAAATACGCAAATAACAGGTACGCATAACAAAACTACACAATGTAAATTTCTTGGAGAAAATGTGCGTGTTTTGTGAAACGAAACGTGAGGAAATAAATTGTTTGTTGCAGGGTACGTCCGCCATGTTATATCAAAATAGTCCATGGTAAGCCCAGTGCTACTTGGAAAATAACATGGTTGAAATTCTGCACTCTCACAGGTTCTCATGTTTTCTCAAGTCAACTGAAATGTGGGCATCATTGTCCCAATATTGTTTAGGATTGAAGCGTTTTCAGAGGAAATGTTCAATCTTTACAGAGGAAACGTAGTCTTAAAGTTTAACTTTACAGTTCTACACACAGCCACACACTGACAGATACACAGACCCGTAGGCTATACATTAACTGTGTGTGTGTGTGTGTGTGTGTGTGTGGTGCGTAATGCGCGCGCTCGTCGTCCGCGTGTGTGTTTTTAAGGAAACTCCTGGAAAAGGAGGCAAAATGGCGTGAGGGGAGAGCTAGCTAGGGCAACAATTAAACGCATCCGTATCCGAAATGCACATACACATTTCACCAAGAGGTTAAACCCTTGTGGTAAACGAAGCAGGCTAGTAAACACCATGTAAACAGCATACTGGACGGTTATGGGCCATGTATCATTTATCAAATATCAGACTATAGGCTATGTGACCAACACAAGGGAAACTTTGTTTTTCAAAAAGCCATTGGATTATCAATAGTTATGCAACACAGTATTTTGGACAGATATTAGGCGCACACGTCATTGGCGAATGGAAAATTGATTCTGCCTATGCAAAGCGCGCCCTCGCGCAACATTGCAGGGCGCTGCTGACAAAGACTCCGCAGAGATTTATTGGCACAACAGTAGCCTATAGCCTAGCTCGCTATTTTATCATACAAGGAGAAAATGTATGTTGTCATGCCCCTGTCTATTCTGCCGCTGCGTGACTCACTACCTGGCTTAAGCACTATTGCAGTCATATTGTGACTTGTAAATAACAAAGCTGAAACGAATTGTTTTGTTTCTGAATAGTTTCTAGTCTTCCCAATATGTCATGCACGTTGTTTATTACCAGATACATAAAATCACATTCCAATCCACGGTGTTGAGTTGAATTGAAAGACGTGCCATTGATTTTGGCATATTTTAGCGATCAGCCTCATAACCAACCAACCACACAAACACTCCCCCAGTAAAGGACCCAGTGGATGAAAATAGCCTACCATGTCTGACTGTCAGTTTCATTACGCTGTGATATTTTCTACAAATATTGCGCTGTCTCTCAAGAATGTATTAAAGGGATGCTATACATTTCTATACATTATCGTTTGTATATCACTCTACACTTGATCATTGACATAGAGGTTATGGACTTTGGTGTGGCACATGATAAATGATAAGGCTACATTATGACGAGGAAACCATTGCATTTCATATAGAAACCCCGTAATTAATAGCCAATAACAACGACGTAAATTTCGATGGAGGGAAAAGGTTACTACAATCACCGATAACAATTCTAAGCTAAATAAAAACAAAGGGCAATGCTGCAATTTCACACATTCTCTAGACATTTAAAATGACAAAACATATTCAATTTCATACCTGGAAATGGTGATTTCCAAAGATGAGTGGACTGTGTTTGCTCCTTGGAACAGTACACCTGCCCATCCCAGCCATTTGACAGAGCCCAGTGCTGGTAGCCCTCCATAGGAATCAACGCGTCGTGCCTGGGTTCGGGGTGGCTGATCCCGGGCACCACTGACATATCTAGATATCCAGGAACCGCTTGGTACGAGCTAGCAAAACTGGGGTAGAAGGCGAACTCTTTCGCCCTGCTAGACACCTCTTCGTTGGGCAACGCGGTGTGATGGTCGGCATATTTCTCTGCAGGGTGGTACGAGCAGGGCTTCTGCTGCAAGTTCACGTTGTGCGAGTGAGATAACCTACAACCGTAATAAGGGTTTCCAAATGGATAACCGTAGCTCAGAGATGCACTGGAGGAAGTTTGGGGAGCAGGGCACTGTCGGCCGGTGTCTGGGGAAGATATATCCGAGTACACGGAGCCTTGATGAGTCGCTATACTGCCAGAATGTCGCCCCAACCCGGGGTGAGACATCAGGTCCCTGCAATGGGTCGCCTGGCAATTCCCGCTCAGTCCCTCCATTGTTTGGTTTTTATTCTGATTATTTTCATTCGGGCTTTTTTCATAAACGTACATCAAGGTGTCCGCCCAGCGTGGATGCAGAACCAGTGAAGTCGTCATATCAGGCGCTGCCGATGGTTTTTAAAAGTCGACTACTCCAAGACCGACACCTCATTTCCAACTACATTTTACGTGAGCGCATGCGCAACCAAGACCCGTGTGTTCAGTTCATTAAGGTTCTGGCACGTGATATGCTAACGAACCCGAAGAGATTGGGGCTTGTGAGTGGGGGAGAATAACCCTTTAAACAACTAGCAGCTCAAGTTTCACCTGGTCTTTCTGGGGAATACAGGGTCCCATCATTGGCTGAAGTCACCTACACGAACATCCTTAAAGGGGAGGTTGGAAACCTTAGGTGAAGAGGGAAACGAAAACAACCTGCAAAGTTTGGCCGAAAATATTAACCTGAAGTAAACATTTCATTATATCAGAATTGTTTTCATTTTGGGCAAGTTGAAAAATACATTTGAGTGGTATTATAATAAATGAATATGCAAGTCTAGGCCTTATTATGCATATACTAAAGGAAACATTGTTGCAGCACATCGCATTCGCTTCAATGTGTGACAGTGCCAGTGTTGGTTTCATTAACAAATGTTCCATAAATTCCTTTCATTTACGTCATTTAGCAGACGCTCTTATCCGGAGCGACTTACAGTTAGTGAGTGCATACATTTTTATACAGGCCCCCCGTGGGAATCAAACACACAACCCTGGCGTTGCAAGCGCCATGCTTTACCAACTGAGCTACACCGGACACTTTCTTTTGGAGTCAGAGGGGAAAATGTTTAGGCTACATGACCAAAAATAAGTTGCATATTCAGACTTGCATATTCACACAAGTGGTTGACATAATATCTTATATCTAAATGGAAATAGACGTCAACACTAATGCAAATAGACAAGAGTAGGCTATGTAATCGAACATTTCATTGTGTATTTTCTTATAATGAAAATAATGAGACTACCATTGGTAAAACATTAAATAGGCTATATTTTTGTCAGCGAACTGTGTGTAGGCATTGGCATGAACTCTATTGCTTAGTCTAATTTCAATAAAACTAATTCAGGCCTTTTAATAAGCTACAGGATTACAACATTTATTTACAAATGTAGCCTAGTTGGTGAACTATAATCAATCACGCATTTCAAATGCAATTTATTTGACTTTTTTAAATAATCATAAATCATATTTGCGGGAGAACATAGTGGGCATCACATGTGGCACATTTTGGGTAATCCAAAGGTGATGCGTAAAAGCTGAAACTTGGGTCAGGTTTGTCCAAATAAAAGTGCAAGATCTACCTATATATGTTGTTCTTATCGTGGGACCTTCAATTGCCTTCATATTTGAATAAATATTGATAGCTATGAATGTGCAAAAATATGTATTTATTTTCAGCCCTTTGCAATCGGGAGAGTGATAGACTAGGAAAAGTAACCTCGCAAGATGATTTGTAGCCTATTGCAATAATAACATGTTACTGAAAAAGCACAAGTTAGTTTTTTTTCTCTCCACTGATTTTAATAATTGCAAAATAATACCCCGTCAGTTGAAATAAAAAATGAGTCAGATCAGGTTCACATATGAGTAGGCTTTATTTGTGTGGAGTAGATCCATTTATTTATTTGTTTGGAATAAGGATTACTTCAGGCGCAGGCGCTCGTTTTTTATTCATTTGTCGTTCAGATACATTAAAATGTAGAAAATTATAATAGCATGCATTTCAATTTTCTGATGCCAGTCACGTTTCTAATAACGCAATTATCTGTTTAGGACGCCAAAGGTTGTCCCGATTGTTTTGGAGTTGACAATAGGATAGGACTACTGAATATTCAACAAACACAACATTTTTACTTGTGATGCTTTGGTCTATCCTAAACAATTTCAGACTCATCAAGCTCAATCCGATCTCTTGAATCTCTACATGTGTATCTACATCTAATCGACTGTAAATTGACTGCGAAACACTTGTATCACCATTGTCCCAGAGTTGTGCACACATTATATGGATATCTAGAAAGGAAAACGAAAGCTAGAATAAAACTAGATGACTGTAATTCGACGTCACAGAGACAAATAGTGCTCTGTTGTCTCCCGTCGGGAGATTACAGCTATGGAGGGCCGGCTCACCCCAATGGCAGCTGCACGGGAGTCCAAGGTCAAGGTAAAAAACGCGGACAAACAAGGTCGTAATCAGTCTAGACAGACAAGAATGAACTTCACACTCTGTCGAGTATGCATGCAAACTCCTCGTGTAATTTACAGACCATGACTCTGAAATACCTGCAGAGTTGATAGTAAGTATAAAGACAAGGAAGGACAAACACTCCAATAGTAGCTCAAGGACAAGACAACTAGGTTTGGGGCTGTGTGGAGGAGAGAGAAGAGAGACAGAAAACTGCGCATTTCAACGCAGGCTAGATAGACTGCTACAAGTAACGCGCATGCTTCCTTTCATAAAACTTTGCTGGTGCGAGGTGTTTGGAAATGTTATCCATTTGATATGGATTACATTGATGATTTATATAGGCTTATACACATTGTGCAATGTAATTGTTAGCTAGGTTTAGGCAGGACAAGCTTCCAAGTATACATGGTGTTCCCTTGTTAAAGTGGAGTTGCAAGGCCGGCAGGGTTTTTAAAAAGAACATCTCTAACTTGTAACCAAATATTCAGCATTGTTCCCTTGTGATACACATTCACCTTTTTAAATATATTTTGACATTAGCCTGCATTGGCTAGGTTATTGATAAAGATATCACGTCAGTCATTTTTACGCATTCAAAATGACTATAGTTATGACAAATTTAGAATCCTCTTTCAAACGTGTCATAGAAAATGAATGGATCAGTAAGGTCGGGTGTTATACAGGCATTGAAACTAACTCCAACGTTCTGCATCAGGCGGTAAGCTAATTGAAGAGTGTGCAGGCCGGTTCTATGGCAATACATTTATATGCGTCCTTACACGTGTAAAGACAAATAACTGTATTTCGGGTACATGGGTTGTCATTGAATTTCCCTGCGCAATGAATTGCATTACTTTGGGAAATAAGACCATTATTCGCTCAGGATATCCTTTACCTGCAGTAAAGTAGCACCCAACAATGACAACATTCATGTTTTCAGTGCTTCGAAAGTCCAGATATTTCTTCACCAAGTCAGCAATAGATTTGACATTTTTCTAGAAACTCCCATACCATAAGCCAAATTCTAACGAATGCATAGGCTATAATCACGCAAAACAAACTATTCCTGCATGACATCTCTACTACTGTAAAATTGAGATTTATAAACATTCATGCGAGCTATGGAACATCCTCTATATAATTATATACAACAAATTATAATGATACAACGTCAAAGTAAGACTTAAAATGTTTCATCTCCATGAGCGAAATCCCCAAAGCGTTTGGACATATCCAATATAATATATCCTGTTATAGTTCCTTATTCCCCAAATATAGCAACGCTATAAATATACAGAAAACACCTGATACAGTAGGCTATATAGTATGCTGCAACATGCATGCAGGATAGGGGTCGACTCTCGTAAATTTCCATTCCAGCAACCTTATGTGTGAAATTAAACAAAGAAAATGAACTGATTCATTTCCTAAATTGACTGAACAGAGATAGGATGGAACTGACCCCAACCTCGGTGTTTATTCTTACCTCACGTGAAGCATAGGCCTAGTCAGCGTTTCCCAAATTCGGTCCTGGGGACCCCAAAGGGTGCACATTTTGTTTTTTGCCCTAGCACTACACAGCTGATTCAAATGATCAACTCTTCATTAAGCTTTGATTATTTTAATCATTTGTGTAGTGCTAGGGCAAAAAACAATACGAGCACCCCTTGGGTTCCCCAGGACCTTGTTTGGGAAACGTTAACCTAGCTGTACACCATACAATCAACCGCTTGCCTACAGTTACGCATACTTTTCAAGCAACAATAGAACAATTCCACTAGTATGATATAGGCTACACTCTCAGAAATACAGTTTTAGATTTGTTCTTAAAGTGGTATAAACAGCTTGTCACTGTAGTGATGCCCTGTAAGGTACGTCCTTTGTACCTTTAGTTATAGGTACATAATTCTACCCTTGCAGTTCACACCTTAAAATAGACAAGGGGACAAGATAGTACAGGCACAAAAGCGTACTTTTGGAAAAGGTACAAATGTGCCTTTTTAAGGTACCACCACAAAGCCTTATTTGCATATTTCCCAGGGTGCCTTTCAAGTGAATTTTAGAGTTACCAGTACCACCCATGACTGTGTTTGCTATTGAAAGAGACATGGTTGTTGCATTCAATGGCTTTCAGTCCTGTATTGAATATTCAAAGTGAATATTTTATAATTGAAATGAAACTCTTTATGACAATACATTACATACACAGTATCATAAGGCCATACTTTGAAAGCATATTTTTTACCCAAACACCATGGTCTGAAACTCCTGGTTTGCAGGCCACATCGAGTAAATGACATTACGCTGGTTTGCAAAGTGATATGTAATTCCTATTGGAATCCAGCCAGAGTTAGGATATCCCAAAATGTGAACTTTTAATCACCTGCAACATGCATTTACAATGACTGCCATGGTAAGGAAATGTATAAATGAGACTACATTAACGATCTAAATGGGAACAAACATGGCAGTAACAGGTGCAAAAAGTCAAACTACTAACAGATTGGATTAGTTTAATGATGTATGTTATTTAGCATAAGATCAATCAATGTGCATGCAAAAACACAAATATTGAAACAAACAAACAATACAGCATGCTGGGAAATATGATAATGATGGGTGTGGTTTTTGAGAGTGTGTGATGATTGTGCCTTTATATTCAAAACATTGGGTACAAAAATGTACCATTAAACTATTATCGCACATGTACCCTAAAAGGTACCAAACAGTACCATGTGAGATTATACTGTACCCTATACCCTTGTTTCTGAAAGTGTAGCCTAGGCATAGTGTTGTAAACAAGCAATTGAACAGGCTCTGCAAAATTCACACGTCAGGATCAGAGTTTTGTCCAGATTTAACACAGCACCCTTAAACTCGTGCTATCTCAGTCACACCGGGAAGCAGAGGGACTGGAAGATGGAGTCTAG